AGGGTAAAAAAAAAAAAAAAAAAAAAGTTTTGTCAGATCAAACAAGTCAAAATACAGTGATACGGTTATACATGATATTTAGAATGAATATATACAGGATGAAAGTATTTTAAGAAAACTAAATGAAAACAAAACTCAACTTGTAATTATTTTTACTTTTATTATAAACCAAAGATTGTATAGTGCCGGAGGCCTCCGGCACTATACGATCTTTGTTATAAACTGTTTGTTTATGAAATGTTTTTGTTTTTTACATTTAATTTTTTTTGTATTCATATTTCTTAGAGAAAAGGTCGGTGGGAATAAAAAAATACAAATTTTCAATTTTTATTTTTTTTCGTTTTTCTTGAAAATTCGGGTCGGCGGATCTGTAAACCAACAAAATAAAAAATTCTCGCCTAATTAATGACATGTCTGTTCTATCACAATTCATATATTCATGATGTTTGTTTTTATTGCGCCATGCAGACGGAGAAAAGCAAACTGGTTCAGTTTCTTCAAGGATGGAGCCAAGCAGCAGTGGTCATACGAGGCTCTCAGGGGTAAGCTGAATGTAGGATATGTTTAAAAATAGGTGCCAAGGACGAGATCGTTTGTAAGTTTCACCTATGCTGACTAGGCCTCCGCCGAACAAGCTATAATCATCGTGACACCCAGCAGAAAGCTCCTGCTCCAATTCCGATGATGCTATTTATATTGTTCAACGTGGTTACACTCCTGAAAATAGGAAGGAATTCTCATTAAACTTGCGAATTTGCTGCGTAATTTATTGTGTGCTAACCGCTTTCTCTCAGAATACACATTAGTAGTGCGATGTATCAGTGAACATTCTGGTCCCACCTCAAGTGTGGTAAACACCCATGAAATCACCCAAGTCCTTTAATAAGGTTGGGAGGGTGACAGTCTTATATATCACGTCAAAGAATGCAATGAACAGCCACTGTGTATAGTAGGTTTCCGGAATGCTCGACGTACATGTGTGTTTAATCACGTGAATATTATGTTTCCACTTATATATTTATTGCTTACTTATCCCATATCCTAAATGTGGACGAGGTAACATCTGTGGCTGCACTGTATGTAACAGCAGGAGTTTCATATACTAAGGAGCACGGCTCAATAAAACGTGATTTACTTTTCCAAATTACTTTATTACTTTTATTATGAGGTAACTTGACTTAACTAAATTAACGTGCTTCACCACAATAGTTGCATTTGCTCTCATAATTTTTCTTGCTTTCATATGTATTTGGATAGTGGAGCTTCCAGTGTATGGCATCGTTTTAGTAATACTGATGCTACAGTTTATAGTGATCCCGGGGGGGGGGGCACTCGCCTCGGAACTGGGTAGGGGGGTGCCTCCGGGACCTTGAAAACCTGAACCTGTCACAAACTGCTTTGCGCCCTAAAATACACCCTGTCCCAATATACTGCACTAAAAAGTATACCCTGTTGCAATATTGTACATTTCGGTTATGTCCTGTCCTGTCAATATAGGCAGACATTGGTCCAATGTCGGCCTGGTGATATTGGCCCAATATTGTTTTGCAAATATTGGGCTGATATTGGACCATGGTTTTGCCAATATTGGTCCAATATCAGCTTGATGGGTGTGTATCTAGATAACCCTGTGCCAATAATGATGTTCGGAAAATATACCCTGTCCAGCGGCACGTCCCCAGTACCTTTAACAATGGGAGTGCCCTCCCCCCCCCCGGATAGTGATAAGACTGTGTTGTGCAGCTTTTGTCCTTGTAGCTATCCAGGTAGTTATATTACTATATTTTGTCTCTAAACAGGCTCAAATATATTTCATACGAATATATGAGTATACATCAGGAGTAGATAATAGGGAAGGAGTGTGACATCAATAAACAAGGGAAATTCGTCATTTACTAGCCTTATAATACCTACGATTTACTACGCGTAACTCATCCAACTTGAGCTCAAATCGGACACAGTACATTCGCCTAGCATCGTGCGAAATCGTTTCCTCGTATACACCCGCAATCCGGAGATACAGACTAAAACGTACGACACGATTCTCCATTCTTTGGCCATCAATCCAAATCCATTGCGCGCCTCTAATTCAAACAAAAGGCAGCTACCTAACGCGCTATTGCTAACTCGGCGAGGCATGTGGCTCGCTGGGAAATTAGGCATCAACACTCGGCGAGATAACCTTTAACCCGGTACACAGCTACACAGGCCACCTCTGCACATAGCTGGCATGCCTTCACGCACGCACGCTAACCGCAATCAGCAGCAGCTAATCGGGCTCAAATCTCCCAGCGAGCCACATTGCCCGCCGAGTTAGCAAGCTGTGGTTAGGTAGCTGCCTTTTGTTTGAATTAGAGGCGCGCAATGGATTTGGATTGATGGCCAAAGAATGGAGAATCGTGTCGTACGTTTTAGTCTGTATCTCTGGATTGCGGGTGTATACGAGGAAATGATTTCGCACGATGCTAGGCGAATGTACTGTGTCCGATTTGAGCTCAAGTTGGATGAGTTACGCGTAGTAAATCGTAGGTATTATAAGGCTAGTAAATGACGAATTTCCCTTGTTTATTGATGTCACACTCCTTCCCTATTATCTACTCCTGGTATACATATATTCAGGAATGAAAAAACACATTTGTTTTTAGTAACTCCTGGTCTACTGCATAAAGTATCTATAGCAAATCATTCATATTGCAGATCACTCATTCAGGAATATAACAATGAAGGAAAAATGGGAAATAATGTTAAAAATGATCAAATTGTAATCACATTGTAATTTATTAACAAAAAGTTTGTGTGATGCACTGTTGCTTACCACTTGAGACTAAAGAGCTATTGGAGTCTATGGAGTAGCAACTCTGCAGCTATAAACCATTATAAACAATTTCACAATATGCGCAATAGATCTGCTTGATTGTCTAATTAGTTTCCAACTGTCTTTTGAAAGACATAATACAAGACATCCAGTTTATAAATGGTATAATATAAAATGCTATGTATTATAGTATTGAATACTCCGGTGGTATGTTATGACGCTCACATGGTGTATTATGTATGTTTGCCAGTTTAACTAAGATGGTATTGAACTAACACGTCACTAAACATGAGCTCCTCATTTGTTCATAGAAGAGAGATGATGTTCAGCTGCTGCAGGCAAGTAGCAAGGCAACTTCCTTCGAGGCAACAGATGAGGATATGGAAAAGATTCTGGCATCACCTGAAAGATTCGATGTGCTTGATACTCCTGCTACACTTGTGACAGAGGACAGCCGTACATGTGGCTATGACGAGGAAGACTACAAAAGTAAGTTTAGGAGCTCTATTTGTAGACATAATTTATTTATAAAAGCCTCCGAATTTTGTTTATTGGTCTTATCAGTCGTATGTACTCCTTGGTTTCAATCCAGTCATATTTATAGTCCCTGTGAAAGTATTTCTTCGTGTATATATGAATGGCCGAAGCCTTGGCATTTTGTTTATTTGTCTTATTAATCATGTATGACTTGGTTTCAAGCCAAGCCTGTATAGTCCTTGTGATATAATTTCTTCACATGTACCGGTATATGTATGGTCAATGCGTTGGCATTTTGTGTACTTGTCTTATCAATCATGTGTGATTTGGTTTAAAGCCTTGATAGTCCTTGTGATAGGATTTCTTCATGTGTATATGTATGGTCAACGCTGATGAGGTCACCAGCATGCTGGCTGGCCCTTATCTAGATCTCATGTCAAGCAAATCACTTGTAACATCGAGAGAGTGAATTTATAAATTTGAATCAGGTCGATATGATTTGGTAATTCACATCATATTATCACAAGTGCTTGCTGTGATTTGACTAACCATCCCGTAGACTCAGAAATCACACTGGTGTTATCACTGTCATCGTGTCAAAGCCATTGTTGTTGTATTGAGTTGTGTGAATCTCATCCCTCACTATGCCCAGCCCACAGAGTGGACACGCACGGATACCAGCGCATGCATCATCCGATGAAGCTACAGAAAAGCCACCATCACAGACGCAAGAGTAGCAAGAAGCGTGCTCGCGTGGAGATGACAACCCAGGAGCAGCAGGACGACACTCCGGTACTGGTTATTCTGCTCTGTCGACCAACCGCAGTTTCCGCCCCTGCCGCAATACCCTCGGCAAGACCCTGTAAGGTTGTCGGTTTTGGATTGCATAGGCATGCAGTTGTGCGTGCAATATTCTCCACATGAGATTTCGGTGACGTGCATTAGTACGTGTTTAGCTGGCATAGCTAGGTTCTTAGTTTCCTGTCTCGCTTCAGGATATGCAGTGTTAATAGTGTAAAGTGTTGTTCCCAATAACGCATGATCGATCATACTGGGAGGTGAACATTGTCTGGTAAATTTTATGTACACTGTGCATGGATTTTCAGATTTTCATTTGAGGTCTTTGCAAAAAATCATAGCTTGAAGGTGATGGTAAATCTTTTCTGTCGTTTTGCAGGTCAATGCTGGTGCTTTACCATAACCTCAACATTTTGCAGCAACGACTTTTGTGCTGAAAACAGCTTTTGTAATAACTTAATTGCCACTTTTCCTATAATAAATCAGCAGTTTTTCTAAGAACATTTTCTTATTGAAAATCAATGACTTTTGTAAAAACTTGCCACATTTGTGTTTGTAATAACATCAGACAACATTGTCAGTCTTTTTATCAAAATTACCTCCCCACTTTTGTAACAGTATGCATTGTTTTTTGTAATAGAATTAATTTTAGTACAAAAGCTAATGGTTTGTATTACACGTTCATATTGACAATCTTTAAAATTATTGCGAGTCTGGAGTCAAATGCTTCCTGTTTTACTTCTCTCTAAAGTAACACCAGCCAGAGTCTATGTAAATCACTGAAAATTCTACCATAGCATACATAAAAAATCAAAAAACACTGAATACAATGCTTTTCCCCTCACCTGACCACAAGCCATATAATGCACTTGCTCTCACTTAACTGTGAATGTGTTTTAGCTTAAGGGTCTATTTTCCAGGACGCTTCTGCAAAAGATGATGTTGACAAAATTGCCGTGGACATCGTCTCTGGCGACCACACGCCCGTGCCCGGTGCAGAAACCCCTTCTACTAGCAAACAAGATGGCGCCGAGGCACTGCCGGCTCCCCCTGCGCACAAGCGAGAGTTGGCTACACCTACAGACAGCGCGAGCGTACAGTCACCTACGGAGAGTGACCTGACACCCTCGCCTCCCACTGAAGCCGACCTATTCATACCACCCAAAGCATCAGATGCCAGTCTGGTGCATGCAAATTTTTACCTTGGCAGTGGCACGAATCTGCGTACGGACGAGGAGGAAGAGAGCAAGCCCTTGCTGGTTAAGCAGGAGGATCCCGACAAAGAGGTGGGTAAAAACTGTCAGTGACACATATAATATGACAAAAATAATTGCATAATGTCACAGGATCGTGACTACTGTTAGGAGTGATTGCATAATGTCACAGGATCGTGACTACTGTTAGGAGTGATTGCATACTGTGTGTGTCACTCTATAAAATTAGCTTTGCAGTGTTGCATATGGAAATTGGATGTTGCTTCTAGGAGCGCACACCTGGTCACACGCTTCATTTACATATATTGTAGTTAATGTTGTTTAGGTCTAATGCTTACTGTATGGTCAAAACACATGTAGTGGCGTGTATTTGCTCGTTGTACGTAGTGCGGAATAGATAATTATAATAACAGCATGAGGCTGTTGAAAGAGTATCTGTGTCCCCACATTGGTTATACTGGTTACAATTAGGGCTGTAACGATACACAAGCCTCTCGATTCGGTCCGGTTCTCGATATTAGCCTCTCGATTCGATTCCTTCGATTCGATTCCCAAAATATTGAAATGTTATCTTATTTTTTATATTTTCATTATTTTGCAATAATAAATTATTAGAAATTGCCAATGAGTACTAAATGGTGAATAGACTAGAGTCTAGAGAGTATATATACACTGCACAGTCGCTGTGTAGCATTGGTGTGTAACACCAGAGCATGTAAATCAGTGATTTATATGCTCTGGTAACACTCAACAGTATATAGCGTAGTGCCGCCATCTATTGGAGGGAAAAAGTGGTATCGAAGTGGAATCGAAAATACGGGGAAAAATATCGAGGATCGGATCGAGGGAACAGAATCTCGATCCGATTCGATTTCGGTGGATCGTTACAGCCCTAGTTACAATGTCAATTTTTGGTGTCAGTGATGTAGCCACTTATACGCACTCAATGATGTTTCCAGGTCAAACCTGCTGGTATATTAACAAAGGTGGATACCCAATCACTGAAATCTGAAGGTGAGCACACAAAATTTTGTATTTTGTGGATAAAATGTTTATATGATTAATTCGGTTAGTCAATGATGCTCTGATGTCCTGTTCTGGACCTGCTCATAATTGGTAATTTCACAATTTTGGGTGAAAATTCTAGGTTACATCTAACGAAGGCATTGAATATTTTCAGTTTCACCGGCTCAATCCCCACGTAAATTGGACACAGGAAAAGTTTCCTTTCAAATAGGTAAAAACCAAACTCGTGAGATGCATGAAGGTTGCTCCTAAGTAAAACTAAGATGTAATCTACAAAAGTAGATATAATAAAGTAGGTATATTGGTTGCATAACGTTGCCTCGCTTCATGGGTCAATAAACAGATGGCAGTTTTCCTGTTGATCATAATCTCCCAAAATAATAACATTTAAATTAAATATTGTGTCTAATTGATTTACTAGAATTACTCTAGATTAACTATTGTGTAAATTTATATATTATAATTATTATAGAAAATTACATGGCATTTCACATAACAATTAATGTGTGTTTCTGTGTGATGCCGTTATGGTTTGTAATGTTATTGATACACATTGTGTCGACAGGTGGTGAGAGCCATGAAGAGTTGCAGCAACATCCTGTCAATATTACATTTCAACGCCGTAAGCTTTCGCATTCCAGGTTAGTCTTCCATGCATGTTGCACGCTCATACATGCAAGAGAAATCAATACTATAGTGTGTGTCTGTATGTGTCTGTTGCATGTTTAACTCTGCAGTGCGCACTGCTCAAAGATATTTCCCAGTCCCTATTAAAGAAAAACTAATGCTATGTAATTGCTAGTAGAAAATCAATATAAGGATATTTTGATCCCTAATTTCACTGCGCATAGCACCGACCTAGTATATGACTTTACTAGTTTAAATGTATTGGAGCCTGTGATTGTAGTCAATCTGCAGCCATTGTCATGTTTCATTCATTGACAAGAGATATTCTATTGTTAAACAACATAATATGTATCAGTTGTTAATATTAATACCACGTGCTATGATTGTATACTAGCTGTATTATTATACGTTGAACACATTTGTTGCATTGTCCTCACAGTGTTGGGGAGCCGTTATCGCCGGAGCACTTTCGCAAGTCGTCGCTTCAGCATCATCACCACGGCAACAAGGGTATGGGTACCCACCTTGATCGGAGACGGTGCAAGGGCAGTGACGTGATGTTTCGCACGGAAAGCCTGCTGTCTCGCATTAACACGATGGAGGCAGGAGCCGAGGATTTCGTTGAAGGGGATAAGGACGGTAGGTGTTTCTTGTGTCTGTCAAAGAGCTTCAGACAGCCGAGCACCTTGTCATTTTGATATAGTTCTGCACCGTATTGACAGGTGCACAGGTGCTTAGTAGTTCATCATGGAAACAACTGTTCTTACATTTTATAGTAACTCCCAGGTAAGTTGTATCGTGTTAAGTACTGTGTACCCACAGCAGTATCCACGTAAATTATACCTCGTTATGCAACCACAGTATGGCCAGCTGCATTGCACCTTGTTACACATCCTCAATAGTGCCCAGGTAAATTGTATCTTGTTATGTTTATGCAGTAGTGCACAGGTACGAGGATGTGAGAGGGATTCGGCGGCGCAAGATCAAGGCAAAGAGCTCGGTTTCCTCGGTGACTCACCTGCTGAAGGGGGGAGCTGAGGGTACGTCCCAGGAGGACGACGTTGGGTTACCAATCTACAGGAAGAAGAAGTACGACCACTCTCCACACGAGGTGCACACACGTTCGCAAATTATCACACAGCATAGCAAGAATTGTTAGACCTCATTCTGAATAATTTTTACGCGAGATTGAGCCATCATGTCACTGTGTCATAGATATTCGTCGAACTGGATGAGCTCATATATCGGGAGGATGAGAACGATTCCGCGTGGAAGGAGACGGCACGTTGGATCAAGTTTGAGGAAGATATCCAGGAATCGGCCGACCGCTGGGGCAAGCCGCACGTTCCCTCGCTGTCCTTCCACAGTCTGCTGGAACTTAGGAAGTGCCTTGAACAGGGTAGACACTTTGTAATAAACGTTGTGTGTATATTAAGCAATGGTTGCAGTGCAAATGTGTTCAAAAATATTTACAGTGTTGATATTTTGTATGCAGTAGGTAGACTGAGAACACATTAGGTATAAGAATGACATGTTGCACCCTTGCACTTGCAGCAAAAAATCTAAATTGCTCTGCATGTACACATAATAATCCTTTACAATATAGAAGTTACTGGATATATATTTATTCTTAGTGCAAGTATTGTTTTTTCTTTGTTTCTTCGAATTCACACTAACATGCGTTTATGATGTTTATTGTTATTGAAAGGACCATACCCTGTACTATCTATTAATATATGAATAATAGCTGTCTTGTGACTGAACGAACCCCTGTGCATAGCCTATAGAGTCATTTATGTGTTTACTTGTAACAATATGATAGTAAGCAGCTAAATTTAAAAATTCAACTGTTTCATATTAAATTAATTACAGAAATAATCGATCTCATCATGTTTGTTCTTTACTATAAATAGCAGTAGTAGTCGATGTTATGAGTTATGTTGCTATATTGTGTTTGTCTGTACCTGTATGACTATAAAAATAATATTCCAATGATAGGAACTGTGCTTCTGGATTTGGAAGAGAAAGATCTCTCTGGTGTTGCCACACGTGTGGTGGACAACATGGTGATTACTGACCAAATTAAAGAAAACGACCAAGGAGCTGTACTTAGAGCACTTTTACTGAAGCACAAGTAAGCATGCTAGCTTATGACCTAGGCATCATCTTTCAATGCCAAAACTGGTTGGCTATCCTGTTCATAATTAGTGAAAGTATGTTGTCCAGGTTTCTATGCTAATTGTTGATGTTGTCTGATCTTGATACTGCTCAGTAAGCATATATCTCCAATGGCGATGAATTTGGCGGTCTTAGTTTTTGTAATTGTTGATTTACGTAGAGTTGTATTTGCTAACAAACGTGTGTGTTACAGGCGTTTGAATGAAAATGGATTCATTCGACGAAATCTATCTTTTAAGAACCTTCCTACTATGGACACGAAAAAGTAAGTGTGACTATACTTTATCTTGGGATGAATTCTGCAAAAGGTTTTGTCGTGGCTTTGATATATGATTGAATAGGTGTTCTGATCTGTCTAGCTGAAATTAGTTGTATGTAGTGATACCACTCAGTTGTGCACTAGCAATGAATCACATTGGGAGGTATCATGAAGGTAATTGGTCACGCACTACATGCTGTAAGTGTATGTTACTGCTGTGAAATGGAAATCGGGGGTTGCAAGAGTTGGCAGGTCATTTAAAGATTTGCATGAATTGTTTTTATTATGAGTTGGCAAGTATTTTATGATTGTTGTCAGTTATGCGCCTCCCTGGTGAGAGGTGTTTCGAATTTAACAGATAACAACCATAATTAAGAGGTGTTTTGAAGCTCTGTCAGGGAATTGTATCTCAATAGTTGAGGTTTTTTTCGGACAGCTATCTAGGATGGGGTTTGAAGAATTAGTGGGGGCTTTTGGGGTGGTTGTGGATCAGTTTGAAATAAAGCGAACTAAAAATGAAGTTAAACCACACCAAAACATGCCTGATAATTGATTGGCACTTTGGTCACAAGTGGCAGGAGTATCACAGTTATGGTCGCAGGCATCACCTGTACAAGGGAGCTTTGTTGTTTCATAAAATCAACATGGTTTGTCTGATCTGTGTGTATTACCTGATAGGACTTCAAAGCATAGTATCGGGACACTCCTAGACAGGTACAAGCAAGGCGACGTTCATTACGTGAAGAAAGATGGTTCAGCAGTGCTCATTGACATAGAACAAAATGGCGATAATAAGGTATTACTTTAAGTGACTAACATATCTTACTATTTGACTACTTTCTTCCTCTTATAGTAAAATATTTGTAAAAATAATAAATTGAACACATCTGATTTCCTATATTCCTCATTGCAATCACCTTTATCCAAAAACGTGTTCATAACATGTTGTTATTGAATCTTTGTGTTTTACCATGTGATAAATCTCTTACACTCAGTCTCTCCCTTTAGCTCTCTTTTCTTTGTTATCTCTCAATGTTGCCCACGGTCTCTGCATACGTGGATTTGCATAGTGTTTTGGTGTGTTAAAAATGTATAGAAACAGTCTTTATTATATTATATTGGTGTGTCAGTTGGTTTTTCACACTACAATTGTTGGACTCTTTTAAATTGTTTCCTAGCAAACTGCAAATAATTTAGGAGCTAGATCTGCTTCTCATCCCAACCTGGGTCGAATGGATCAGGATGTCGCTCACAACAAACATATGACAGAACTTCGGCGGAAGATTCCAGCAGGTGCCGAGGCATTTGCCATTCTCGTTGGAGCTGTCGACTTTCTTGAACAACCAACAATCGCATTTGTGCGATTAGCAGAAGGTGTGTAATGACGTAGATATCGAATTAATTAACCTAGTATAAAACCTAGCGACACGGGTCGTTTAACTTAAGCAGCATCACGTCATATGTTATTTTAGTCGACAAATATCAGTCAAGGTAACAAGTGAAAGTTGCACCACGAATATCCCAAGGTGACGACTGCTACGAGTCTTATGACAAGCCGCGCACGCCGGGCTCGTGGCTCACGCGTGGCACGCGCGTGACACAACTAAAGAAGAGAAAATATGCGTCGACAGAGAGAGAAAGTAATCACCTACACAAGGCGACACTATGACATTCTAGTACCTATAGAAGGACATCACACCTTGATGTCGCATGCCGACTCATGAAGAACAAACAATGAATGCTGCCGACAAATGTGAACTATGAGAACATGAATCGAACTGCCGCGATTCCCAAGGACTTCTAGAAGCTTCTGCTGCTGTTCTCACGTTAGAGAAGGAAGTCTCTCACCTTTAGTTGTCCATAAAATTCTGGAGAAGGACAGGATTGCACCATCCGCACGTCATAGGCTTATTTTAGCCCATGACGACATTATTGCACCATCCGCACGCAACGAGGCCTTGACCACCATCGGGCCATGCATTCCTCCAGTTGCATAAATACCGAACAGTTTCGACGGAAAGGCAGACACAGTTCCACGGTGCTGACAGATCACGACGCTGTCAGCACCGTCGCTGATCTCACCTGCTGCTCGCTGCCACCATTGCCGCTGGACATCACTGACTGAGGACCTGCCTGCTGCCTGCAACCTGCATGACTCCACGCTCGTAAATATTAACTGCATTTGTAAACCAGTCGCTTGTCTGTATGTGCTTGGTGTATGTTAGCCTGCATAGGCATTATTGATCTGCGTAACTGTTATACTGCGTAGCAATTTGTAATGCGTATTCGCGTATGTGCCTACGGGCCTTACACTTTATAAACGATATGTAATCTATTGTACGCGTTTCGTATTTGTGTGCTGCTTGTCTATGCATCGTATAATTATGCAACGTATGTAGCTTTATAACATGTTCTACTTAGCCACTGTTTGTTAAGCCCACAATGTTTGATTGTAACCGGTACTGTTCTCGTATTAAACGATTGATATCACGTTGTTATATTGATGCCGTGACAAACTTCAGATCGCCAAACAGTATATTATAGTGCTTAACCGTATGATTTCTTGAATATAGTTCCTTGGTCTGCAACGACACAGCGTTCTGCACTACGGCAGCAACACTGATGATGAGTCATATGTAAGTTTAACGCTTTCTATCTTTTATTTAAGTAGATTAGGTAATGCTCACTCGCTGCGACAAATATTACTTTATAGGTACTTCAGCTAATACCATTGCATCCCGCTAAGTATGTTCCCTGTACCTTGTGTATCTATCTACCTTGTGTACCTATACCTCCGTATTTTCCTAATCTCTAAATGAATACCTCTTATTAAAGAAATACATAGCTTGATTTTGGTCGGTAGTTTTTTAAAGAGTTGATGGATCAACACGTTGCTCTGCGAATCTTTTATCAAGTGTAGGATTGCTACCTACATTTTTTTCGAGAAACAGATTTGGGAGTCAACCAATGTAATAATGTAGCAAGGGGATTCGCCTGATCAGCAAATTCACCAATAATTGTATGAATAGCAATACTATCATTATGATTTATGACGCTGGCACATTAATTTGACTATAAGATACGTATCTAATAAATGATTATAAGAGATATATTGATGAAGATCATGCCTTCACGGGTCACATAATTCTTACGGTGGATACGCAATTTAGCCTTATAAGACTCTATGCATAGCTTAACATGAGATAGCTTAAGGCACAGTGTTAAGAAGAGTTGGCTTATGTTTTGAAACGTCTCCACAATCGTAAGTAAGCAAGTTATTTAGCATTTAGCATATGAGATACCCGTAAGTTGGGCAGATTCAACAGAATAAGCTGTAGAATATTATTATGATAATGGAGCCATCGACGCTCGCTTGTACACTATGGAGCCATTGGCGTTCGCTTGTACACTATGGAGCCATGAAGGGCTCACTCTTAAACGACATTAAACTCACGTCCGACATCAAGCGTATGAATATGAATTCCTATTTTTCTTGTAACCCTTGTATCCTTTCTATACCTAGAGAATCCCTAGATGAGATTCCTGTGACACAATTGCACTCATGTCCTTTGAAATGGGACGATGATGATAATATTGATAATGAGGCAGTATAACGTAAAACACTGCAAACACCTAAGTAATATTAGCATTATGAAGAGCATTATGTAATCTACCAAACAGCGTTGAATTCTGATGACAACAGTATTTACTAGTTAAAATATGGATTCTGATTTATATTCCGTTTCTTGAATAACGCTTCATGATATTTTGTATGATTGCTGTTATATGATGCACGAATGTTTTCTTTTTAAATTACGTGTTAGTTGCTCTTATAGCGTAGCATTATAGTTCGACTGATCTCGATTAGTATTAGTATAACGATGAAGTTTTTTTTGGTGTAACGGTAAATTTTCAATGCCGCAGCGGTATCAAGATATATCTATTTTACATATGTCTCTACGTTGCTCTTCATAGAATATGTTTCGCAACTAATGAAAGTTCGAGGGTAGTGTAATGACGTAGATATCGAATTATTTAACCTAGTATAAAACCTAGTGACACGGGTCGTTTAACTTAAGCAGCATCACGTCATATGTTATTTTAGTCGACAAATATCAGTCAAGGTAACAAGGGAAAGATGCACCACAAATATCCCAAGGTGACGACTGCTACGAGTATTATGACAAGCCGCGCACGCCGGGCTCGTGGCTCACTATGATATTTTAGTACCTATAGAAGGCATCAGACCTTGATGTTTGCATGCTGACTCAGGAAGAACAAAGAACAAACGCTGCCAACAAATGTGAACTATGTGAACTATGAGAACATGAATCGAACTGCCGCGATTCCCAAGGACTTCTAGAAGCTTCTGCTGCCGTTCTCACGTTAGAGAAGGAAGTCTCTCACCTTCAGTTGTCCATAAAATTCTGGAGAAGGACACAGGAATGCACCATCCGCACGCATCCCTCCAGTTGCATAAATACCAAACAGTTTCGACAGGAAGGCAGACACAGTTCCACGGTGCTAGCAGACGCTGTCATGGTCGTCGCTGATCTGACCTGCTGCTCGCTGCCACCGTCGCCGCTGAACATCACTGACTGAGGACCTGCCTGCTGCCTGCGACCTGCATGACTCCATGCTCGTAAATATGAACTGCATTTGTAAAACCAGTTGCTTGTCTGTATGTGCCTGGTGTATAAGATGTTAGCCTGCGTAGGCATTGTTGACCTGCGTAGCATTTGTAACGCGTATTTACTGGTTGGCCTGCGCAGCCACCTATTTATTTTATGTAATTGTCAATATGATGTTGTTCATTAAAGAATAGAGTAACCGTAGTAATTCTGTGGTTATAGCATTATACTGTCTGTGGCTTAAGTGCAATAGCACACTGTTGTACAAACGAACCTGGACACTATACGATTACACATGCCTGTTACACGGGCTCACGAGCTTTGTTATAGGTGTTAAAGGGACAGTAGCCTCTAGGATTTTACTGCATACAACTGTACTTACTGTATAACAAATCGTCTATACCCACATGTATTTGTCACCAGATACTTAATTAATTATTTACACATCAACGCTACGAAATTTGAGCGGCGCCATGACACCCGCGACCGTGCTGCCACCCTGAAAAAGTTGCGTATTTGCATT